TCGGCGACTGCCTTCCCCTCGCACGCCGCCCTCGAGGCCGCCTCCACAGCCTTGTTATTGAGAAGAAAATACCTCCTATGGCGCTGTGCGCTGACCTGTGAGAGGTTGAGGTGCGAGCCCTGGAGGCCCTGGGGATGGGGGGGGACTCCACATCGCCAAGAGCCTTCTCGGAGCCTTCTCGGAGCCTTCTCGCAGCTCTCCTCAGGCCGCATCCATCTCCACGAGCCGCGTGGCAGCCGTCGAGGGCAACCCCGGCATCTTCCAGACCCCGCCCCGCCACGCGCGCGCCATCGAGGCGCATATCTCCCCATATCTCCCCGTATCTCCCCGTATCTCCCCGTATCTCCCCGTATCTCCCCGTATCTCCCCGTATCTCCCCGTATCTCCCCGTATCTCCCCGTATATCTCCCCATATCTCCCCAGGCGCTCACCACCCCCCCGCCGGCCGAGGGGCATATCTCCCCGTATCTCCCCGTATCTCCCCGTATCTCCCCGTATATCTCCCCATATCTCCCCAGGCGCTCACCACCCCCCCGCCGGCCGAGGGGCATATCTCCCCGTATCTCCCCGTATATCTCCGATGCTATCTCCCCATATCTCCCCAGGCGCTCACCACCCCCGCCGGCCGAGGGGCATATCTCCCCGTATCTCCCCGTATCTCCCCGTATCTCCCCGTATATCTCCCCATATCTCCCCAGGCGCTCACCACCCCCGCCGGCCGAGGGGCATATCTCCCCGTATCTCCCCGTATCTCCCCGTATATCTCCCCATATCTCCCCAGGCGCTCACCACCCCCGCCGGCCGAGGGGCATATCTCCCCGTATCTCCCCGTATCTCCCCGTATATCTCCCCATATCTCCCCAGGCGCTCACCACCACCCCGTATCTCCCCGTATATCTCCCCATATCTCCCCGTATCTCCCCGTATATCTCCCCATATCTCCCCGGGCGCTCACCACCCCCGCCGGCCGAGGCAGGGGCATATCTCCCCGTATCTCCCCATATCTCCCCAGGCGCTCACCACCCCCGCCGGCCGAGGGGCATATCTCCCCGTATCTCCCCGTATCTCCCCGTATATCTCCCCATATCTCCCCAGGCGCTCACCACCCCCGCCGGCCGAGGGGCATATCTCCCCGTATCTCCCCGTATCTCCCCGTATATCTCCCCAGGCGCTCATCACCCCCGCTGGCCGAGGGGTATATCTCCCCGTATCTCCCCGTATATCTCCCCATGAACTCAAGACCCCCGCCTGCCGCAGGGCGTTCCGATTCGTGATCGGGCTGCGCGACCCCCTTCGACCTCGGCTTCTCCCTCTGGAACTTCCTCTCGACCCTCGGGTAGGGAATAAGATCAGTAGCAGTATTCATACTAATCCCTAGAATACTCTCACCAAGTACTGGGGTCTCCCCCCTCCAACCCTCGGGCAGGGAATACGCATGTCGTAGCAAATACCTAAATCCCAAGGAAATACTTCAAATCGGAATAGCTGGGGCCTTCCCCTCTTCGATCCCCTCGGGGACAGGAAAT